ATATACAATAGTGGTTATATTATAAAAGCAATGATGAACTCCCATGGCCTAAAGAGACTAAACTTGTTCTCCTTGACCATTCTAAATTTCCAATTAATAGTTGTAGCTTAGGCTTAAAGTAGAAATCCTTCATGGGAAATCAAAAAGTCAATCCAGTTGTTTCTAATCAACAAACAGCTTATCAAAGATTTGAGTTAGAAACTTCTAACCTAGCTTTTTATGATATTTCCCATTAAAGTAGTAGCCATATTCAGACTGATTGAGGGTTCATCTCTGTTGCTAAAATTTTGATTCAAATGTGGAACCAAGGATCTGAATAAAAAATTATTTGAAGCCAATACGACATTCCTCTGATAAGCCAGGCTGCACTCATTATTTACTTTAAATTGAATCAGGACTTAGGAAAAAGGCATATGAATATACAGGCAATGATACAGTCAAGATATACTGAAGCCTCCTAGGCAAAACCCTGTTGTAATACCTGAACTTCTGTTTATATTTAGGGCTGAGCATATGACCCCATTCTGGCATAAGCTATGGTAAACCATCACAGTACCATGTCTCATTACTGTAAATGAACCTGAATTTGGGAGGCAGATAATCTAGGAGTAGAGATGAATAGTTTTGCAAAGGTTTATAATCTGGTCCTATTGTAGCGCTTGGCTGTCACCAAATCTTTAGGCCTGAATTTATAAATATTAATATGTATTTTGCCATCAGCTAATCCTTTTACTCATTTGCATCATCTTTGGTCTCTTACGACATCCTACCTAACAATTTCTAGGTGATTCATAAGGTGATAGATATGGTTAGGTAAGTGAATAAAACTATCTGTGGGGATGCTTCAAATTTTTTAAAACTCAGATTTAGTGGCATGTAATTTACATTAGAATAAAATTCACCTTTTTAAATGTACAGTTATTCATTTTCTTTCCTTTGTTTTTATTTTCAAAAATGTAAGCCACAACATGTTAAGGTAGCAAGAATTTCCTGACAATTTTCCCAGAATCTAACAGGACTAGGATAATAAGAAATCAAACTGTTCTAATACTTGCTGCAGCAATATTCCCTGCCCCGCAGCTGGATTACAGTATGGTACTGTTTTCTGTATTACTGTCTGTGAGCCAAGACAGGCAGCTTTTCAAGGTGTTGAGGGATTGTGCAGAGGAAAGAAATAATGGTACCATATGCAACTGGAGGCATTATCAAACGTGCTGTATTTAATACTAGACACTAGATTGCAAAAAGGACATGTTGTCTGGGTAAGTCATTTTTGATACAGAATACCACAGAATGACAAGCTTTCTTGCCAACTAAGTTTAATAATGAATATAATACCTAATATTATTTACCACACCATGTTAAGTAGTTTACACATATTTCTTTAATACTGACAAGATCCCTTTGAAGTAGGGACTAATTATCAAACCCATTCTACAAAGGAAGAGAAACAGTCATCCTGAGATTTAAGTAACTACCAGACCAGGGTCACTCAGCTGGCAAATGTTTGAGTTATGGTTTGACTTCAGCTATGGTTTTGATCACTGGGCTTCATTTCGCCAGACCCTAGGAAACTCACCTTGGAGAAAAGCAGAAGTCTTTGTGGAGCTTTACAGAAGGGAAAAAACATATCTGTTCTCTTCTAATAGGAGCATTACTATCCTTGTAACTATCAACTTCTCTTCCTCTTTAGAAAATGGAAGATCAAAGACAGATACGAAAAAAATTGCTCAAAAGGAACTAAAAAAGTACCTGTTAACTTTATATATATATATATATATATATATATATAATCATAATCACCTTAAAATGCTCAGCAGCATAATATCTACATCAAACTTAACAACTAAGGACAACATGGCATCTCTTTAATGGAAAATCTGAGATGTATCACAGGATGTACTTTTTTGTGGAAGGGTCTTGAGTGAAAGTCCCATAGGTTGGTTAAAGTTTATAAAACAGTAAAACATGATTTCTCAAAATGTGATCTATCTGCCAACCTCTTTTATTAGTATTACCTGCAACACTTATTAAAATACAGATTCCTGCTGACCAAATGAGAGTACCTAGAGATGGCCCGTAATGCTTTAAGAACTGGCATATGAGAGCAAAAATGAGTTACTTCTTTTTTTTTTTTTAATTGTGCCAGAGGTTAGAACTGGAACAAAGTAGTAAATGGTAAAGGAAAGTAGTTTGAGCTCAAATGGAAGGAAATTTTGTAGCAATTATAGCAACCCAAAATTGGATTTTTTTATACTTTGAAGGTTTCTATCACAAACAGGTATGATGTCAAGAATGTTGTAAGAGAATACTTATATTGAGTAGGATATTGGACTATGTGACCTTAAAGATTCCTTTGAGCCAGGATTCTCCACCTCTCTTAGTGCAGTGTGCTAAGACAATGAGTAATGTGAAGTTTCTATTTCCCATTTTCTCCTCTTTGGCTAACAATATGAAATGATAGTGGTATGTATGCTTTTGCTAGGTAACAGTAAAAATGAAGAAATTCAGAGAGCTGCATTCCCAAGGGCACATTGCACAGGTTAATATGTACTGTTTTCATTCAGTTTATTTCCAGGACTACTTGCCTCTTATTCCCTCTTGCCAACCCAAATTCCTCAAATGTTAATGTGTAACATATTCTTGTACCACTTGAAACATGCTTTCTGTCTGTTTAGGCCTCTTCAGAATAACCCTTCACCCCTACCTTCCGACTTTACTGTTTTTTTTTTAAACTTTCATTCAGCAAACACTTATTGTACATCTATTCTATGCCAATAATTAATTAGGTATTGGGAATATAATCCCCATCCCTAGAGAACGCAAAGTTTCAGTATTTTAGTCGATAGTAGACAGAGTAAAAAAAAATCAAGTATAATAAAATGTGTTATAAAAGATGTGTACAAGGTGCTATGAAAGTTAAGATAATGGCACCAAATGAAGCCTTAAGGCTGAGGCTGCCTTCGAGGAGGTGGTGATTTTTCAGCTGTCTTAAAGGATGAGTATGAGTTTACTAGTAGCTGGACAAGTGAAGATTTTTCTGTGCATAAATAACAGACACCTGTTATTAACATTGTTATTAAAGAAGTTTGTCAATCAATCCCACCATCTAATTGCTCCCTTTTCCTCCCCCATTTATACAATTGAGGTTGGGGTTTGTTACGGGCCCCCAATTTTTAGGTAGGAAGCAGTCTACAGGAAGCCAAGAAGGTTGGTGGTGAAGTGGAAGGGGTATCCCAAAAAGTGGAGATTTGAGAGCCAGAGTAAATTAGGTACTAGACTAATAGAAAGGAACTGTTTGACTTCTTTCTGAAAGCATCTTTATAATCCATTTTTGAATTTATACTATATAGATATATTAAAATACCCTATTTAAAAACAAAATAGAAACAATTAAAAAGAAATTCTGAAACAAATCCTTACATTATAAAGAATTAGTTCCTATTTTAAAAATTAAGTGAAAGATTTAAAATAGTAACATCCCACTTCCTCAGTCTATCTGAATTGTGAATCAATTTACAAAATATACTTTATTTGCAACCTGTTCTGGCATAATTATTACATATATTTATTTAGTTTGACATATTTTTATATAAATACAATCTTTTTGTTGTGCTGCTGATTCTAAACCCAAATTGCTCAAATTTGATTTGATTTCTCCTTAATAGAATTATTTAATATCTTTTTTATAGAGACAACTGCCTGTTGCTATTATTTTTATTAGAATGATAATGCTTAGATTTCCTTTAATAAGTAGTTTAGCATGGCATATTGTAGTCAGCAAGCTACAGCCCACAGGCCAAATCCAGTTTGCAACCTATTTTGGTATGACTTGTGAATTAAGAATGGGTTTTTTAAATGGTTGGAAAAAAATCAAAAGATGAGTAATATTTCATGACACACAAAAAGTATATTCAGGTTTCTATTATATTTAGGTTTTATAAAATATATTCCAATAATTCCAGCTGAAATATTAGAGATACTATCAAACATGTTATTTGACAGATGGGAAGATTAAGCTGAAAATTGATGAAGGGATTTTTATAAAACTTTTTCAAAGTTTTTTAATTAGGTGGTAACAATTCAGAAATTTGTGACTCATGTTTTCTGATTTTAAATTGAGTATTCTTTCTACTGTATCATACTGCATCTTTATTTTAAAATATCTTTCCTAATTGTAAAGAAAATCACTCATTAGAAGGTATAAATTAATTGATAGTATCAATTTGAGTCTTAATAAAGTATTAACTGACAGAAAATATTTCTAACATGATTTCCCCAATGCAATTTCTTTCTATTATAACATTCCAGTTAAATATTTTATGAGATGCCCAATGTAAAATTTTTATTAACAGATAATGAGGCAAATTTTCAATAAATTGTAGGAGTTTTCTTGGTTTATTCAAACATTTTATGACAGCTTGATTTATAATAATATAATTAAATTTATTTTCAAATATTTTTTATTTAAGATTTTTTTATCTATTGAATTTAACATTGTAGTATTCAATATATAAGTCATTTCACCTGCCATAGGTATGGTAAAGTTTCCTTCACTATATCATACACATCTATAATAGAATTTTCTTTCTATTTCAAAAAATGCTTACAGAGTTAATCAGTTTTCCCCCTTACCATTGTTATTTATGATCTGAACTTATACATTTGTTGCAGTACTTCTTTATCTATCAGATTTATCTGGAATTGATTTTTGGTTCTTTCCAAAATAAGAAATCACTTCTCATGCTACATGTGAAAAAAACTATGCAAAGATGCACTTAATTATTTACTGTAATAACAATTGCTTTTCTCATGTTTCTGTTTGCGTATTATTTATTCCTGAATGACAACAAACTAACACTGAACAATATTTCTGCTTCCATAATGCTCACTAAATGTAACGTTCACAATACTTATACTGTAAAACATACTGTTCCCTCACACTCCTCTTTAATCTTATATAATTAACAACTGCCTTTTTCCTTTTTCTGTTGTTTCAGTTAAAGGATCAAGAAAGTTAAGTCTGCCAACAGATCTTAAGGCTGATCTTGGTACGGTAGGCAAAAGCCAACAATTTTAAGTTTTCTTACATTCATTTGGCTGAACATTTTAACCAACCAGTCCATGAATAACAAGTTTCCTAGATGGCAGTGTTTAATGGCTTTCCAAAAAGCCTTTCTTAAAAATCACCATACAGTTCTGTTGGCAGCATTCAACATTTTGTTTGTTAATCATTTTACAAAATTATGTTTCATAAATCATTACACACCAAGGTATATAATGTTTTCGGGTTTTTGTTTTTTATCATGAGAATGGTTTTAAACATTAACTAGTCATGCATATGGACCCTTGTGACTGTAACCATGTAAATGAACATCACTTTTTCTGGAACTATTTTTCCCATTTTGTATATTAATATCATTTAGAATTAATGCTATTTAACAACAACAACAACAAAGTCTGATACATAAAAGAATAGAGTTCTCTCCATTTAAGAAAGTTATAGAAGATTTTATTCACTTTTAGTTTATTTTTTGTGGTGGTTAAGGGCTTATTCATAATTCTAGCTCTGAAATAAACAGGCTTTCATAAATTTTTCTTTCAGAACTTTTATCTGCTTGTGCCAAGAGTTTTTTTTTCTGAAATTTAATTGAATTACTTTTATTTTCATCTCCTTTATTCTGACTTAAAGTCATAGCATTAAATCCTACTAATGTCATGGTTGAAATAAGAAAAATACAATAATTAGTCTTTGCATTATTTTTTAGTGTACAAAGCTGTTTCACATACATTATTTTATTTGACTTTCTTAGCAACTCTTTAAGATAGTTATTATTGTTCCCAGTCTTTTTTTTCAGAGTAGAAACTGAGGTTATATTGTTAATAAATTGTAGAATTAAGATTTTAACCTAGATCACAGAACGTAATACCCAAAGTTTATGGAGCATATTCACATACCTCATCTCGTATCTAAATTAAATAACTTTTAGTCAAATAGTTTGTTACATTCAAAATCTGATTACATATCATCTTAGACGAATTTGATTATATTGGACAATTATGTTATTGTATTTTTAAATGCAAAGCACTAACATATTTAGTATTATTATTAGTTTAATATTAACAAAATTGTTTTGAAGTTAATTAGTATTTTGCCAATGTACTTGATGTCAGAGGAAGAATCAACATTCTAGTTCCATTTATTGACCTGCTACTACATGTCAGACATTATGCTACATAATTTGTACAAATTATCCGAGATAGATCAGTAATATTGTTCCCACTTTACAAATAAATTAAGGCTATGAAAAATTCAAATTTGTCTAAGGTCATACAACTATAGCAAAACTGAATTTAAATCAGGTATATATCATTGCAAAACTTATAATCTTATAATTACCTATCATTTTGTATAGCATGTACTGTGACAAATGTCAAATGAAGACTAAAGAATGAGAATGCTTTTCTCTAGAAAAATATGCATTCTGATATTTATTCACATAATTTCCACATATCATAATTTCTTTCCTAGAATGTTGAAAAGGAATAATAAAAAAAAATAGAAGATTCTCAGCCCACTTCCATATTTATTGGAAGTAGCAAAGAAAGCTCTTAGTTTTAATTCTAATCTGGAGGTCAGTTAGGCATGATTGTTATTAATAAACATATTAATAAACAATTCCTAAAACTGTCAGTCGCCAATTATCTCCTTCCCAGTTGCTTCATTCTATTTTTACACATACTTTAGACACAGATGATTATGAAAACTCACATATATAAAAGATAAAATAGTCAAGTGCTTATCACTTTACTAAAGGATTTTTTGCAATTAAAAGTATTCACAATAAAATTTCATTAAATCCCTATTTCTAAGTATGTTGTCAATGTAATTTCATTTTTAAAACTTGTTTCCCACAAATCTCCAGAAAAAAAATTGTAAGGATTCTGAAAGAGGATAAATGTCTTTATGTATGTAAATTCTTCCAGTGTAAAACTTTGCTGTAAAATATATCCTGGGTTGCTTGTAACATGGTTTCAGGAAGAATATTCTCCAGTGGTGTATAACCCTTTAGTGAAGGAGGAAAATGTGTAAGAAGCTATTGTAGTACACCAAATAAGGACCAAAGTAGGATAACAACAGTGAAAATGAAGAGGTGTTACCATGGGAGACTTTACAACTGGGATTGGGAACAGTGAGGGAACAGGGCTGGTAAGGCATAAGGAAATAGGGGGAGTCAAGGATGACCACAGAGTGCAGAAAATGGAGAATACCATTCTCATGGAGAATACCTGGTTTAAGAGGAAAGGAAAATGAGTTTGAGTTGCTCAGGGACATTCATGTTAACCACTCAGTGAGCAATTAGAAATGTAGGACTGTTTACCATATAGCACAAGGAACAATATTCAAAATCTTACAATAACCTATAATGAAAAATAATCTGAAAAAAAATATGTATATATCATTTTGCTGTACACCTAAAACTAACACAAATTGTAAGTCAACTATACTTCAATTAAAAAAATAAGGAAAAAAAAGAAATGTAGGGCTAGAGTGTAGAGGGGAAATCTCAAGCCCAAAGTAATAGATAACAGTCATCTGTGTAAAGGTGTTAGTGACTGTGTATATGAGCTGTTCACTGAAGACAAAGGAAAGATGACAACGTGTTGGAGAGCTTTGGGTACTAATGTAATAACTTCTTTGTTACAAAAATCCTTATCTGGAGTGGCAGTATAACAGTAAAAGTAAAATAATAGTAATAACAGTAAAAACCTCATACGTTGGACAGTTATGCAATTAGAACCCTCAAGTTGTTAGCCTTTTATGAAGTAGTTACCAGAATCATGGTAAATTGCTTTATTCCCTAACATTTTAACATTCAGTGAAAAACTATCTTGTTTCTCAATTTTTAACAAAAAATACAGACATTTCTCTTTCTTAATAAAGACTTTGAATTAATGACCTAAAAATGAATTGATAATTCAAACCCTGAATGCACATAATCCAGGGGCTGGCACAACGTTATGAATATAGTGTTATATATGCATTATAGAATACTGTAAATGAAACACAGGCCCCCGTGAACCCTTAAAAATATCTACTACAGGATGGCCTCCAGCCAATGAAAAGATGCGTGGAGAGGCCATGGTCAAAGGACAAGTACTGATAATTTAATTTATTTAATTGTAAAACTAAAGTTAAATGACAGTGGCAAATATTATTATAAAATAAAATGTAAACATAAAATCCATAATGATATAGAAATACCTTAACTTTTATTTTTTCGAGAGGGAAAAGAGAGGTTAAAGTTGCTAACAAGAGTTAGTATTTCTATAGCTAAGTGTGGTGGTTAATCGGTAATGAACTGAGAGCAAAGATAAGCAGAGGAAGAGGAATTATACTTAATTTCACCTTTCACAAGGGGAAATAAATTGACATTATGCATATATAGCAATTCAAGAAGAATTAAAATTATATCTTCAAGATAACCACTAAAAAAATTAATACCCCAAATAAATCAGGCAAAGGATAATACATATAAAAAAGAAAATAAGAAAATACAGGCCATATAGTGAAAGAAGCTACAGAAACTAGAGAAGGAAAAAGAAGAAGGAAGAGGAAGAAGGGGGGAAGAGGAGGAGGAGAAGGAAGAGGAAGATGAAATAATCTACATAAAACTTGCAGAATGGAACACAGCCTGTTCCTGTTGACTGACCAGAGTCTTCAAATTCTACACTCTGAGCCTGTCAGGACTGCCCTGACCCCAGCTTTCTAACCTTTAAAAACACCAAAAATATTGTCCCTGAAACAATTTTTACTGGAGCCATTTGCCGTGCCATACTCAGATTGCCCTTAGCCACAATACCCACAAAGTTCCCACCTATAAGAGGAATGGGAGCCAGTGGGTGAAACCTCATGCACTCCAGGAGCACAGTGGAGACATCACAGGTAGGGATAGAGCTCTCGAGCATGATCACACTGTCCTTTGCAGGAGTTGGAAAGATGGGGTTTGGACGCTAACCCTGGTAACCTTGAGAATTAATCATGCAGCCACTTTTGTGAAGTGGTCCCCTCTAAAGAACAAATTTGCTGTGGAGAGTGAAAAACAATTCATTTCTGTCTGTCACTTGGATATAAAAATGACGAGTGGGTAAGCAAGCACATTAAAAAGCCAGTTCATTCACTGTCCTTAGTTTGGACCGGTATCTCCGTGTTTTGCTGACAGCAGGATCATGTGACTTCAAATGCAGAGTGCTTCTACATACAATTAAAAAGTGGATGAAAAGCCAACCAGCATGCCATGGAGCAGCAAGATGCATTTTGGTTAACTGATGTCACAGTTTGGTGGCACTGGAGGCTGGGTCCCTGGTTCAACTTCTCTACCACTGGGAGCCTGAGTAAGCACCACATGCAGTCCTGATGTCTCAAATAGTGTTCAGGTTGCAATCTGAAAACAGAGTTCCTGTCACTCCTGAGTGTATTATTTGTCTCAGAGAACAGTGGTGTTGTAGCTCCTGGCCAAGAATGCTGCCCAGTGCTTTTTAACTAAGATGACCATGGCTGCTTGACCTTAGTCTCCAAACTAGACTTTCCAAAACACAGCATGCAGCACATGTTAGCCATGGAACACTTCCACAACATAGACAAGAGTCACAATCAAGGACCATAATACAGCCTCAGAGATGGTACACCAGAATAGCATCACTCAAGTACCTATTTGCAAGATAGACAAGCAAGATGATCAGAAATTTTGCCCTATAGGAATCAATGGAGCCATGATGATTTGGGATTTCAAGACCTTAGAGTCCTCCACCCAGGGCCTTCAACTAATATGAAGCTGAGTGAACCTCTATGATCTAGCATGACAGACTACAACTGACTGCAGCTCTGTTTGTAACTTGCAAGATGGTGAGGAAAGCCAACCACAAGGAAACACTAAAAATGCATATGCCGATATCATTTGAGTGTTGTTTGAATATAACTGGTGAAAATGTTGGATTTTTAAACAGTCTTTTAAAGTTTTTAATCTATTTTTTTGTACGTTTGGTTTTT